CGTGCAGGTTCTGACTCAGCTCCATTTATGTGGCTCAGAGAATTAGGGAGAAAAATGCAGAGGTGCAGAATGTTTTATAATTACTTTCTTTTGCTTTCCTTTGTTTTCCCTTGTGTTATTAAAATTTAAGAGGATACAAATTGGAATAAAACAAATACTACATCTTACAAAGTGGATTATAAATTGACCACATTTAATACCAATAAACTATTTATTGGGAATGTGCAATATGATCATAAAAAGACCCAAGTTCTTAAGGAGTTTCTAAATTAGAGAGGAAATTTGATAGGAAACAATTAAGGTAGACTTTCAATATAAACATAATTAAATGAATTATTTCATAGGAACTCCAAGCAATCTATGAAGAAAATGGAGGATTGTAAGGCTTCAGCAAAAAAGGAAGTTGCATTTAGCTGAACTGGAAATGAGTGGGTGGGCAGGACAATGGAAGAGAGGTGTCGAACAGAATGGACATGCTGTGCTCAGACAGTGGGACTAGTGCAGCATGTTAGAACAAAGAATGTTCTGTGAGAAGCGGTGGAGAGGGAGACTAGTGGGAGAGTACACACCCAGATTGAGGCCCATGCTCGATTCAGAGATCATGGGGAATAATTAATATATTTGTCTAAGCATCATGACGAATATAGCAAAGAATGAGATTCATTGGCCACATAAATATTCCATTTGCTTGGAAATGAGCTAAAATCAGTAAGGTATTTTTTTAGAGAAGAAATGCTTTGCACATTTCTAAACGATCATAAGCATCTTACTTTGTTTTAGGTTTTTTGTTTTTTACACAGCGTCTCTTTATGTAACTCAGGGTAATCTTGAACTCACTAGGTAGCCTAGGCTTGTCTTCAATTTGGGATGATTCCTCTGCCTCAGTCCCCTACGTGGTGGGATTACAGGCTTGCGCCACCATGCCCAGTGACCATAAGAATTTTAACAGATGTTCCCTGAAGTGGGCAGCTGCACTGCTTGACACATGGGTAGTGCCATGCTAGAATCGTGTGCTGATCTATCCCAGAAATCCTCAGGATCCAACCGTGTGCATATGTGACATGCTGTCCCATTTTAGTGTCATGCTTTAGCACACATTGGTAAAGACACTCTTGAAGTTTACAGAGCATAGCTAAGGAAGGGTGTCATGTAATTTACTGTATTTTTCAAGGAAATATTTTATGGCAAGTATGATGACAGCTTCGATAATATGAACTTTTTAAATGGGGGAATATTTGAAAACTTTTATAATAGGCCAAGTGAAAAGTTTTATGATTTTAAACTACAATTTCAGTTCAGAGACAATGAAAAGAAAACAAAAGGCTGGATATGCTAGAGAAACTGAGGCAGGGTGCTCTGTCAAGCTTGAGCTGATAGAACCATAATGGATTATTAAGAAATATATTTTATTGTACTAGTAAATGGTCCTGTGCTTTCTTGGCCTGTATAGCTTATGAGTTCACCCCACTTTGATATATCTTACCTTTCAGTATACACCATGCTAACATTAAAGACAGGATTCACATAATAATTTGGTATTCCCTCAACCTAGGATACTGTTTTCTTTACTTGAAAGAAAAGTCTTCTAATGTAATATAAATATTTATTGGCAGTAATAAGGGATAATTTAAACAAGAATTTGGAATGAGGAGTTTTACATGATGATTGATGAATTGAGGTATTTCATTTGTTGGTTATTCAGTCTCATTTCAGGATGATCTTAAAATGGATATTTGCAAGTGAACTAGACACACTATGAGTTCTACTCTTCTTGAAACAGAGTGTAAATACTTGTTTTTGTTGTGTTTTTCATTTGCTTTCTCATTCATTTACTGCATTATGGAACACTATTTTTTTAAAGAGCCTAAATTTTTATAATGAAGAATCATCGTTCTCAGCCCTGTTTTTAGCTCTCAGTTCATCACAAAGGTATGCAAGTATGTGTCTGCCTGTAGTGGCATGTGTATCACTACATTGAGATATCCATTGAGATGTATATCACTATATTGAGAATATAATTTTTTAGGGCTGGGGATTTAGCTCAGTGGTGCTGCCACCTGCCTTGCAAGCGCAAGAACCCAAGTTAGATCCCCAGTACCAAACAAAAAAAAAAAAAAAAAAAAAAAAAAAAAAAAAAAAAAAAAAAAAAATCAAAAAAGTAATTTGTTATTTCTACACTTGTAACATTTTTCTTCTATGCTTGAACCTTCTTTTCCCTATGAAGAGAGTCGAGCTTTTCACTAACAACCTGGGTTTCACTCTCCCTATTGAGATTAGTATAATGAATCTAATATCACAGATTAAATGTCTGAAAGCATCTGATAATTATGTACCTACCTTAGCATTTCAAAGTTGGTCATCACCTTTAAGCATAGACGCTTATGCTAACCTTGTGCGAACACAGAGTCTATATTACAAGCAATCTTCTGTTCGTGAGTTTGGGCAGTAATCACAAGCTTGGTGATGGTACCAGTTGGGAGAAAATTGTCCGAGATGGGGAGGGTGGAAAAATTCAGTGCTCCTTATAAAAGAGCTGGTGGTGGTTTGTGTGTATGTTGTGGGGGTAGTAAAAGAGAAGCAATGCAGCCTCTGAATGATTAGAGAAAAAAGAATTATGAATACTGTACTTTTAAAGTCTTATTTTGTCTGTAATGAAGAACAGTCAACAACACCATAATGTACAACTACAACACCTGAGCTTAGGTTGAAGTTCACAGACTGGATTTGATGTGTGCTTTATATTGAGAAGAAATTTATTCTCTCTCCATCCCTTAGCTAGTTCAAAGACCTTGTATAAACATGTCATGCAAACAAATAATCAGTTGACAGAGATTATTTATTGAAATCACAAGGACAGATTTATAAATTAGGTCTTCTTTATGACTTGGAGAGGTAGAAAACCTTAATGGAAGGCCCGACCCATACAATTACTAATAGTTCTTATGGCTATCTGCATACCCTGACTTTTCCTACCGTTGTTGTCAGGAGTCTTATGGACATGTCCCCACTGATGCCACCACAGAGGTAGTGCAGATAAGGGCAGGATAAGGATTGTAAAATTACTTGAGGGAGATTTTGGAAGCAGTCTAAAAACTTATTTTCATCTGTTTCCTACATTTATCTCAGTACATAAAAATTTTGCTGAATTTAATAGAGTTTCTTATGTAATGGCAAGAGAAGACTCTTCTGAGAAGCCATAAAAGGCACTAACGGAAACCAGCCCAAAACACTGAGCATCTTTAAACTTCTGCAAATGATGCAAAGTGTCTGGTTCCCCTATCACACAGGACAGCCGATTCTGTCCCAAACACAATTTTGCATTGTAGGGGCTGGGGCCTTGGATCTCCTGGCAACCAGGTAGTTTTCATTATCCAGATCACCAAACAGCTAGAGGGGGGGACTTAGCTTTACTTTAGTTTCTTCACCTGCTAGTAGGATGAATAGGGACAGTATTGAATATTAATGAGATACTATAAAGAGGATGTTAAGAATAGCATTTAACATCAAGGTTTTCAATAATTCAAACAATAATTCTTTCATTTCTTCCTTCTTAAATGAGGGTAGATCTATCTATCTATCTGTCTATCTATCTATTGATCTATCTATCTATCTATCTATCTATCTATCTATCTATCTATATGTAATCCTGAGAATGACTTGAGAAAATGGAGTAATTCAGTCTTAAGTAATTCACATCTTCCCCACATGTGGGATGAACATGTGGCACAGTGATCCATGAGATAATTTCACCCTTAAAACATTTAAATTATAACTGTGTCAGAAAGTCATTTTCTTGTGTTACTTAATCCTGACTAAAAACTACAAAGGATAAATCAGTTATTTAAGTACCATGAAGCAGAGTATAAACACAGCCATTAGCGAGCAGGGGATAATCACTTAGAAATCCCTGGTGCAAGAAGCCGGATCCTCCACAGTTATGGGGAGTGCGGTACATGCACTGGGCCCACTCAGTTCCTAAGTGGTTTTCCATATTTTATATTTTTAGCACTTTGTCTTTTGAGAAATGCAAATGTAGTCCTGTAGGGCAGTGCAAAGCCTTGTTATTTGGTAAATTGGGTTTTTAAATTCATATTAACCGAAGTCCAGAACGATGGCAGTTAAAAGAGATGGAAGATTGTTGAAATGACAGATTGAGCAGTGTATTTCTCAGGTTACAAAGTTCAGGAAAATGTGTAATTATTTCTGAGTTTCCTGAGGTTCCACTGTTCAACATAATGTTCTGACATACAGTGGGGACAGTTCCAGATATGAAATGCAAATAAGTAGGTACTGCCCCTGCTGCTCATGCTGGGGTTAATCATGCAAATCTAATGCAGTTCTTGGTATTTCAGGAAAGGTTTTAGTTGAAGTCTCTATGCACGTATTGCTTTAAAATTTCGACTTTAGATATTTTTTTCAGCTTCAAATTTCAAAATACAGAGCAGGATTGGAGATAGAGTTAGTAACCAGACTTTTATCTATATGGTTTAATCATGGAAAAGAGTTTCAGGGGTAGGGTAGGGTGGGAAGGACAGACAGAAGAGAACCCACAAGAATGGGAGGATTGCTGAACATATTAAATAGTATAATAGAACTAAATTTTAATAATGTAGTGTAGAAAATTTCTTTGTTTGGAAAAAAATCCAGTAAAGCTATTATACATGTTTACTGAATGTCTGTTGTGTTCAATGAAGAGATGTGACTTAAATTAGCTCAGGCCGCATCAAATTTAACACTACAAGCTCCTTATTTTGGAAAGAATATAAAAATACCACCGGACATGAATGTTTTTATGGGAAGAAATGAAATTGTCTTGCTCGTAAGTGTAAGGTGCCACATTCTAAATAGTCTTTCTGGTGTGCTCAATAAGAATTCAGCTTATCTTTCCAAAAACAATAACATTCCATGTCTCAGTGCCTGACATGAGAATTATTTTTACATATCTTCATATCACTGCCTCTCTCGTAAGTTAATCTCATCTCACATGAATTTTTCACCAGCTTCACTCTGATGTTGATAAAGGAGATGGTTCCATCAAATACATCTTGTCAGGCGAAGGGGCAAGTTCCATTTTCATTATTGATGAGAATACGGGAGACATTCATGCTACCAAAAGACTGGATCGCGAGGAGCAGGCCTACTACACGCTCCGAGCTCAAGCACTGGACAGGCTCACCAACAAACCGGTAGAACCCGAGTCAGAATTTGTCATCAAAATTCAGGATATCAATGACAACGAACCCAAATTTTTGGATGGTCCGTACACGGCAGGAGTTCCTGAAATGTCTCCTGTGGGTAAGTAAAAAGTGTGCTGCATTTGCAGTGAGTATTAGACTTTCAGTGGCTTGGATTTAAAAGCAAACTGGCAGCAAATACAGTGGAAAAAAAAATATTCTTATATGCAGGGCAATTGTGAGGATGTAGGGAAAATTTGAGATAAGTTAGCCATAGCTCATTCATTCAATACTTCATTTCATTTGTATAGGAAATTAAGAAATGATTTTTGCTTTCTGGATTTTTTCTTTTACATAATTATCTCTATATCTTTAAGAAATTACTTAGATCTTACATTTTACTCTGTTTAATATTTATTTATTTTAAATATGTGATTACACTTCTGTCTCAGTAGTTAAAAAATAAAGTCCTTCCACACACAGCCTGGTGATGGTTTTTAATGCTTCTTTCTATAGTGCTACTGTAATGATTTACTGATCTAAATATCAGTCTGTCATCCATGCCTCAAGAATGCTGTCAGTGGCCAGCCAAGCCCACATCTGAACTGGCTGTTCTCTTTATAGTAAGAGTGCTTTGACCCCTATGTATCTATCAAATGCTACCACTGATCTTTTTGTAATTTCTCCAATGGAACATTGAATAGTGAGTTTATAATAATGCTAAAGCAATATTTAATTGGAGATGTATAAGCTGTAAGGGAGGCAGTTTTACTTAATGGCATTTGGAATTTCCCCACTGCTAAAACAATGGCAAATAAAGCACTTCTAATATGTACTTTATAGCAAATAATAAAAATTCTGGTTGAAATTCCATGTACTTATGTACTTCTGGAATTCTTTTCAGCCAATATATAATATTTTGGGGGGAGGGGGTTGAGACAGGGTCTCACTATGTAGTTGAGACTGACCTGGAACTTGGGAGGGGGTTGAGACAGGGTCTCACTATGTAGTTGAGACTGACCTGGAACTCACTATGTAGCCGGGGCTGATCTCAAACTCACAGTGATCCTCCTGCCTCAGCCTCCTGAGTGCTGGGATTACAGGTGTGCACCACCACTCCCGGCTCCACCAGTACATAATTTTAAGTGTGAAAAATCTTTTTAAAAATCATAAAATATGGGTCTGAAATAGTGGCCAACTGATTCACATATTTATTAATTATTTTATGTATTGAAGGAGGAAGTGTATTTAAAATATTACTGAAAATTGTATTATAACACATGGTTATTTTAGCCAGTATGATTTGTTTTGTTTTAAGTAAAGATCATTTTATGAATATACTCAACCAATGATTTTACTAAAACGGTGAGTGAAATTGCTGAGATGTATATTATGAATACTCTCTAGAGAGTCATAATTTAACGACTTTAGACTTCAGTTCTTATAAGATGGGAGAGGGAAGTATTTTTGAGGTGCAATGTCTATAGGTGCTACAAAATTACAGAGTGGTCCAGGGATTTAGCTCAGAGGTTCTGCCGCCTGCCTCACAAGTGCAAGGCTCTGAGTTCGATCTCAAGAACAAAACCAAAATAATAATAAAATAAAATAACAAAGAATTACAAACTCGAAGTAAACAGATTTAATATTTGTGGTCAAGAAATATTCGGAACCCCATTGGCAGACACTTAAATTAGCAAATACATAAGTATTTCAAAGACCAAACAAGCACACTCACACTTTCTCCAAGCTGCACACCCTTCAAAGTACCTCTTGCTGTTATTGCTTAATAATGACAGCAGTCATAGGAACAATGATTTTTTAGAGATTGTAGAAAAAAAGAGAAGTAATGTTGAGTAAAAGTGTTTGTCAGGTTTCTCTGGGCAATTGCATTTAGCTTCATAGTTCTCATTCTCAGGGGTATTTTGGGGAGTTCTTCATTAACTATTAAGATTTTCCTCTCTTTCATAGAATACAGCTATGCAATTCAACATATATGAATTTCTTGTTTTACAAGGTAAATAATGCCTATAGCTTTGAGTTTCAATGATACTACTTTAATATCAAACAGTGTGGTTATTGTGCACACATGTAAGTTTGACTGACTTGATTGAATCACAGATTAAAATTTTTAGAAAATTATTTTAGAGAGCTGAGGATTTGGCTCAATATTTCCACCGCCTGCCTCGCAAAGCTCAAGGGCTGGAGTTCAATCTCTGTTATCAAAAACAAAAAAACAAAACAAAATGAAACAAAAACAAAGAGCAAAAGCCCAACAAAAAAAACATATAAAGAATACATTTGAAAAGTGAGTTTGGGACGGGGATTTAGCTCAGTGATTCTGCCACCAACCTTGCAAGTGCAATAACCTGAGTTTGATCCCCGGTACCAAGAAAAAAAAAATATTTTACAAATCTTTAGGATTTAGCTGGCACTGATTAAAATCATTGGATTATTTTAAAAATTTAAATTTAGAACATGTAGATTTACAGTGAGTCATAGTTTAATGAAGTGTCTAATTTTTATTAAACAGTTTCAATAGCCACTAACAAGAGTGATATATTATGCTTTCAGTGCTTAATAGTCAGAGTTCTTTTAAATTGAATATTAACTAATTATGTTTTTGAAATACACTCATAAGACCCTAGTATAGTTTATTCTTCAATAGCAAGCATAAGCATGAAAACTTTACATTTATTTGTGAATATGTGTATAGGCCTACAAATATGTGTATTATATGTAAATATATAACATGCTATATATTATTTACATTAAATTAAATGATCAGCATTTCAGAGAAAAAGATATCGAGCGGAATATTTATTGGTTTAGTTTAGTTTTCTTAATGCTTTTTAAAATTATTTTCTTTTAAAATGAAGTGGAAATAAATACTTAAGCATATTACCATTGTCAAGCTAAAGAAGTTGCATTATAGAGAAGAGTTTTAAATATGATCTATTATAACCTTCAAATGTATCCAAATTTTAATTCTTAAAAAGAGGTAAAAATAAACATTGACTGTCTTGATTCTATCAGGCATCCACAGTGCACAATCACTTAAACTCATTAAATTAAAAAAAAGTAAAGATTAAAAAAAGGTCTAGATCCAGGGACATAGCTCAGTGGTGCTATACCTGCCTGGCGAAAGCAAGGTCCTGAGTTTGATTCCCCATACCAAAAAATCAATGGCTTAAAGTCAATAACTTCATTATTTGCACGCAATTCTTTTAAAAAAAGGAATTGGTAAGGTAAAACCATAACGTGGAAAATAGCATTTATTATAACAAAATGAACATTCATGACTTGTTTCAGACAATTAAAATGAAAGGGAATATAAAACACATTTAAGAATATACTAGATTCAAGATGCCATATTCAGGAATTTATTAGAAATAAACAGACCTTAAAGAATATATAAAGACAGGGACTTTTCCTCTCTGTATCAGAAGAAAAAATATAACTGTGGCATAGTATGTGCTTAGGTATATGAACTTAACAAACATATATTTCTAATGTTTTGAAGATTATATATCAAATGGAAATAAAAATAATAGAATAGATTCTTTCCATATTGAATAAATGAATATATAATAAAATGTAAAAACAATGTGACATGAAATATAGAAAAACAACTAGTAATCCCATTTTTATTTTATTTTTTTATTTTATTTTTTTGGTACCAGGGATTGAACTTGGGTCCTTGCTCTTGCAAGGCAGGCCACCGAACTGCTGAGCTAAATCCCCAGCCCAATCCCATTTTTAAATTGCCATATGTTTCCTTCTTTGGGAGAGTTTAACATTTTTATCTTATATTTTGCGTTTTAAATCAATTATTAGAAAAAAACAAGACACTTATCCAGAAGGTAGAATAAGCACATTATACCCCATTAGATGGGCCAACTATTCTTCGTACAATTAGTGATATTTCAACTTCTGTCTGGCATTCTTTAACACCAACAGCCAGATAGTCTTGATGATTTGATATCTGAGATATTTTTACATTTCAGGGTAACTCTGGACAGTGATTAATTCTCACAGAGACTGCTCTCCAGGAAACTTGGTACCTGACTTGATGGATGAGATCCCTAAACTCCCAGTCCCACTCAGCTCTGAGCATTTCCCAGTCTAGCATGCATTATTAATGATACACTTGTGCTAAAATATTTTCATTGCCTTTAACTATTTCAACAATTGTATTATTATTTATTATCTCTGAAGTTGAGATAAAAAAACGAGATCATTTTTTTCATGTCTAATGAAATAAGTAAATTCAAAATTACAAATAAATGTCATGTAGAATCTACAACAGCATGTGGAACCGTGCTTTTTTCTTTGGACACATTTCATTTGCTGGTTTCTGGATTGTCACCTAGGGACTTCAGTGGTCCAAGTGACAGCAACTGATGCTGACGATCCCACATATGGTAACAGTGCCCGGGTGGTATACAGCATTCTGCAAGGACAGCCATACTTCTCAGTGGAACCCAAAACAGGTAAAAATTGTAATGTGGCATTTTTTTTTGGTAAAATTATCACTTTTATCTTGGCTTACAATTAATATTAGTTTTTCTTTACTAAATTTAGTTGATTACACATGATATATTTGTATTCTCTTAATGTGTCAATTTTAGTGAAATAACTATCTATTAAGGAGTTATCCTCTTTAAATAATAGTTTATGACACTTTTCTGTATTTCTAAAACAAATCAATTTTCTATGTTTCAAAATATTTCAGTTGTGACCTTCTGATTTTATAAAGTTTATTATTTACCTTTCAATTTTATTTCTTTTTGTTTTCTTTTATGCATTCATATAGAGAAGTGTACATGATAAAATATAAATTCAAATAGAAACATCTCTGCCATACAATAGAATAGTTACTGTTTCTATTTATCCTTTTAGAGGCTGATTTTTACAAGGATATTAATTAAGGCAATGAAAAGAATGATCTGTTAAATTAAAAACTAAATTTGTTTCTTAGTCTTTCATAATGTACTTTTTCAGTTGCAAAAGTAAACAAATAGAATATTTATGTGGATAGCTTTTTTGTTATGTTTCCTTTAAAGGTGAAATAATTTAAATTAAAATTGTAAGACAAGATTTTTGATTTTTAAATAATTATTTGACATATACAGCTTTTCTATGTGTATTGAGGGGTAAGTAGATGTGAATACTCTCTTTAAACAATTCTGCCTTTACCTCATAAACATACAATGTTTCTTCATTCTCAAATCACTACAAGAATAAATATTTTAAATGACTTTTGGAAATAACAATTGTAATGTACATCAGCAGAAGTAAATTCAGTCTCACTTGTGGCATACTTTTTAGCAATGTAATGATAGAATTTGGAAACTACTTAAAAAGTCTAATAGAAAAGAAACAGTTATAATAAGCAAGTGTTGGATGAAAGAAGAGTAAGTAAAACTATTTGATTTATGATATGAATATTATGAATGTAGAAAATGCACTTGTTTGATTTAATGATAGATGTAAAGCCTAAATTCAAAGTATCACTCTCTCCTTATATATCTGCTTCTTTCAGTCAAGAAAGACATTGAGGAGTTTCTCAAAATTTTCTCAAAAATTATAACTCTGCATTGTGTACCCAGTCCAAAACAGCATGTAGTAATTCCATCAGTTAAACACTTTGTAGCTGCTAATAATTGGCTTGGGATTTTTAGTTTGTTGTGAGATAATGGAATTTTCCTAGAACTCCATGGATTGAAAAGCTCATTAAGTGATCAAATAAGTAATTATATAACATAGGATTACATTGATACTTTAATAAGTTCAATTTTAATTTCAGGATCTAAATTAAATAAATCATATATTACAGGATATATTACCATTATCTACTACAGGCAAGAATAATGTGAGATGAAGAAATATTATTTTTAGTACAGTAATCATTGTAAGTAATGGAGCTTAAATTTCTAATGTTAGTGCAGAGATATTGTAAACATCTTTATCTGCCCAAATCATACTATGTAGAATACAGTTTTTTAAAGAAAAAATAAAATTAAATCTTTTTGAAAAAAAAAAAGGAAAGTGTTTAGTCCTTCAGGGTTTATAGAGATGAAATTCAAGTTTCAGTTAGTCATCCTTATGGGATGTCAATGCGATTCTTTCCTAAGTGAGAAATAAAGTATTTTCCACACAAATCTAGGGGCTTTGGAGATGAAGTAAAATTTTGACAGGAAAAATTTATGAAAATATGCTAAATAAAGATTAGTAAAAAAAAAAGGAAAGTGTTTAGTCCTTCAGGGTTTATAGAGATGAAATTCAAGTTTCAGTTAGTCATCCTTATGGGATGTCAATGCGATTCTTTCCTAAGTGAGAAATAAAGTATTTTCCACACAAATCTAGGGGCTTTGGAGATGAAGTAAAATTTTGACAGGAAAAATTTATGAAAATATGCTAAATAAAGATTAGTAAAAATAGGCCTAGGCAATCACTGGGTATATGCATTTTTATAAGTTTGCTCGACTACTGAGAAAAGACATAGTTAAAATTGCAGAGCATATCTTCTATCTCTGGGAGTTTTTAAAGGCCACATTACCAGAGGGTAACTGTATTTTCTGCCTTAATATTTCCTGAAACAAAACCCAAATGTGTGTAGCTGCCAAAAGCAAAGTGGACAGCTTACTTCAATAAGCCAATAAAATGACACTAGAAGCAGATAACACACATAAAAGATAGGAGATTTTCATCCTATATATTCATAATATTCACAAAATTATGGAGGGACAAGATTTTCATAAGATATTTTTAATTAAGTTTATTGGTACTTTTTCAGTATATAGTACAGGTACATTCATCATAGGGGTCTTGTGCCTTTATATGATGTAATTTGGTTCTTTTTTTTTTTTTTGCCATACCCCTACCCTCCCTTTACCACCTCCACCCTTCCCTATTTACAAAGATTTTATTTCCATTTTTTTTCTCATTTTTTTTACTTCCCTTCTTTCCTTTCCCCTATGCTTCCCATTTTCCCTACTCCTTTAGCCCTTTCCTTCCTATTTCACATTGGCAATCACATTATACAATTTGAGCCTTACTTACACTTTTAGTTTTTTACACTAGAGAAACTATTCAGAATTTACACGGCTGTCCTATTTATTCCACTTAAGGATATGGCCTCACAGTGCACCCATTTAGCTATAAATAGCACTAGTTTCTCATTCTTTATGGCTGAGTAGTATTCCACTTTATAGAAAAATCACATCTTCTTTATAGAGTCTTAAATTTCTGGGCCCTTCAGCTTTCCAAGTTGCAGCTATTACAAACTGTGCCACAATAAATGTGGGTGCACATATATCACTGTGGTAAGATTATTTTAATTCTGTTGAAAGATACCCAGTGGAGGGATAGCTGAGTCAAATGTAAACTCTAATCCTAGTTCTTTGAGGTATCTTCATATTGATTTCCATAGTGGTTGCACTGGTCTGCACTCCTACCAACAATGGAGAAGGATTTCTTCCTCCCCCCAACCATACCAACATTAGGTATGGTTGATTTCTTGATAGCATCCATTCATACTGAGGTGGAATCTCAGTGTTGTTTTTATCTGCATCTCTAGAATAACCAGTGATGTTGAACATTTTTTCATATATTTATTTGCTGTTTTTCTTTGTCTGAGAAATATCTCTTCATTTCAGATGTCCATTTTTCAATTGGGTCTTTATATTTGGGGGGCCTGATCTTTTTGAGTCCTTTTTTTATTCTGGGTAATAGTGCTTTGTCTGAGGAATATCTTTTCCTATACTGTAGTTTGTCTCTTAGCTCTGTTGGTTGTTTCTCTTGCAATGAAGAAGACTTTTAATAAGATGCGATCCCAGTTGTTGATTCTTTGTTCTAGTTCCCTTGCTACTGAGGATTTGTTCATAAAGTCCTTACCTATGCCAATGTCTTGGAGAGTTCTACCTAACTTATCTTCCAGCAAGTTTAATTTTTCTGTTTTGATATTCAGATCTTTAATCCACTTGGATTTCAGTTTAGTGCATGGTGAAAGATAAGGTTCTTGTTTTAATCTTTGGCAGCTTGAAATCCAGTTTTAGAAACACAAGTTATTAAAGAGGCTATATTTCCTACACTAAGAATGGTTGGGTTCTTTGTCAAAGACGAGGTAGCTGAGTACATCTGGAGTTGTTTCTGTGTCTTCTAATCTATTCCATTGATCCTCAGGTCTGGTTTTTACCATTACCATGCTGTTTTTGTCACAGTGGCTCTGTAGTATAGTTTCAAATTGGGGATTATGATACCCCCTGTCATGTCTCTGTTGTCTAGAATTGCTTCTGCTGTTCTAGGTCTGTTTAGTTTGCAAGTGAATTTTTGTATTGTTTTCTCTAGTTCTGTGAATTATACTTCTGGAATTTCAATCAGGATTGCATTGAGCCTTTATAGCAGTTTTGGAAGTATGGCCATTTTCACTTTGTTCTTCCTTCCCAGGAACAAGGGATGTCTTTACATTTTCATATATCCTCTTCAATCTCTTTTTTTCAGAGTGCTCTATTTCTCAATGTAGAGGTCCTTTGCTTTATCATCAGGTTGATTACTAGATATTTCATTTTTTGGAAGTTATTGTGAAAGGAATTGTTTAACTAATTTATTTCTCAGTGAGTCTATTATTTGTGTACAAGAAGGCTCTTGATTTTTGAGTGTTGATCTTGTATCCTGCTACTCTAATGAATCTGTCAATTAAGTCTAGAAGCCTTTTGGCAGTACTTTTCCATTCTTCCATGCAGAGTATCATATTGTCAGCAAGTAATGAGTTTAACTTCTTCCTTCCCTACCTTTATTGCTTTAATTTCTTTATCTTGTCTAATTGGTGTGTCTAATGTTTCCAGAACTACATTCAAAAGGAGTGGTGATGGTGGGCATCCTTATCTTGTTCCCGATTTTAGCATGAAGGTTTTCAGTGTTTGGCTATTTAGTATGATGCTGAATGTTGGCTTTTTTATAGATATCCTTTATCAAGTTGAGATAAAGAACATCTATTCCAATTTTCTGCAAAGTTTTTATCATGAATCGGTATTTAATCTTGTTGAATGCTTTTTCTGTATCTATTGAGATAATCATATGGATTTTGTACTTGACTCTGTTAATATAGTGTATTACATTTATTGATGTTGAACCATCCTTGCATTCCTGGAATAAATCTGAATTGGTCAGAGTATATGATATTCTTGATGACCCTCTGAATTGTGTTTTCCAGTATCTTATTGAGGATTTTTGTGTCTATCTTCATTAGGGAGATTGGCCTTAAGTTCTGTTTCTTGATTGTATCTTTCCCTGGTTTTGGTATCAAAGTAACACTGGCTTCCAGGAATGAATTTAGAAGTACTGCTTCCCTTTCAGTTTCATTGAAAAGTGTAAAGAGTAATGGCAATAATTTTCTCTAAATGTTTTGTAGAATTCAGCAGTGAAGCAATCGAGACCTGGGCTTTCCTTTTTGTTAAATTTTTAATTATGTTTTCAATTTCACTGATTG